ACTTTAACTTTAGCCATCACCAGTTCATGATCGCAGCCAAACTTTACACTTCTGTACATTCTGACACCTTCTAAGTATTTTTAATTTCTAGTGATGAGAACATGGTCAACCTGGCCTCCCTCTGATGCATCAATGAAGGAATTTTACGAACCTGATTTGTGAGGAAACCACGTGTCGCCAACAACTAAATCGTGTATCTCACATGGTTCTGGTCCTTCAGGATTATCGTTCACCAACACCGGTTGATCCCAGACATCTATACAGTTCATTCCTCGCTTCAACGCTAGCGTTAAAATCACCAGAAACGATCAAAATATCGTTGGTTCGGCACTAACGCAACAACTGACTCAACTGTGATGGCACGTGTTTTGTATCTACACTTCAACCTTGCCATGGTCATTCGGTCCGATACAGCGTTCCACTGTGCAAGGGCTCCGTCTACATTTCTACTGACTGCCAGTGCTGCATCAGCTTTGTGGGCAACACCTTCTAGGCGTATTGTATTCCCTCTGCAATAGGAGCTATAATTTCCAGTATTCACACTGTTCGTCTCTTGTATTGCAGCCACCTGTATTCCCACGCGATGGAGCTCTTCAGTAACTGGTGTATTCTATCAAAGTTTGCTCAACGTTTGCACATTCTACGTGGCAAACTGTTTCAAACATTTAACACCGAAAAGTATTTTCCTCCTTTATAAATCTCTGGAGATCCTGCACATGACTAGTGTGGTTGACGGGTCATTTATCAATAAATTCGGTTCGTGTGCTAATTTTGCACGGTTACTGTAATCAGGGGTAAATTTGCTGGGTGGGTGATTGGCCCAGAAGAGCTCCTCCAAAATCTCGCTAGTCGTCCGTCTCAGGGTTCATGACATGTCTTTACGGCAACCGTAGTGGCTGAAGAGAATGTACTCCACCACTTCGCCCTGCCAAGCATTCCCTTACGGTAGATATCCAGCGTATGGTGTCAAGAAATCAGGGAATGAAGCAGTAACCTGTATGATTGAATAGATGAAAGTTCTGAAGTAAGGCACGACTGCTGTCGTTGATTTCACGAATAGTATATGAGCCACCTTATTATAGTATATGCAAACAAATAGCCACCTCATTAGAATTAACACCCCAATAATTCACTGAGTTAAAGTGCAAGTAGAGCACAATGGGTCATGGATTTGCTTCAACTTCTTTATTGGAAAAGTCTTGAATTAAAAAAAATTCGAAATATTTGAACTACATTTGAGGCACGTTTTATCGGATAGCAACTAAAAGTAATGCGCGTACTAGAAAAACTGTCAAATCAACGATTATCCAGAAGTTAGTGCGGACATCTCTTCTTTCTTGCAGGATATTTGTATTGATTGAAGCACCGGGCTGCCGCCGTGTCACAGAGACAGAGTCCAGCGCGGCACATATTTTGAGATGTTTCTAAAAAATTATTGAAAAATAAGCATGGTAAGAAAATTACATCAGTACCGTAGCATCGAATATCACGATTATGGCATGCCCAGCGGTACGGTTGGAAATAAATTAGGCATTTAAACTTGGAGTTTAATGCTTCATAACATCTGTCATGTTTTTGACAGCAGGTATCAATGCCATCTACTGGCGTCCCATGTCCCCCTTTGCCGCACCAACAACCGTAACCATTATACTTCCATGGACTGAGACCGGTCACACATTTGATAACATCACCAAAATCTTTCAGCCATCGTTTCGATCGGACTAGTGCTGCAAAAGAAAAGCAGATAATTAGTGATTTCTATAAAACTTGACTATAAACCTGATGCATAAGCAGTTTTTAGTATAGTACCTGGTCAGATCTTATTTATGATAAATCACTTACGGTGCCTTATCACAAGCGAAAATAAACAAATCTTGAAATGTCAATGTCACGACTATCAATATGAAGTTCGTAATAAAAAAAGTCTTAGCAAACAGACGGCTATTTTAACGGTCGATTAATACGTTTATGGAATTGTCCACTGAACTAATGCTTAGCCACTACTATACTCCACTACTATACCACTACTAGCCACCACTAAATTCCACTAGCTAACGTTTGGCGAAGAGGGTATCAACTTTACTTTGGCTATGAAAAAGAGATGCAGCAATAAATGCGAAAAGTTCGAAATGCAAATCATGCGTTATGTCAGGAGCAAATGAGTATTTTACATACCTAGCATCAACACTCCGCCATATAAACATGTTGTAATTTTGTGGTAGCAAATGAAAAGTTCAAGATCCTGAAACATAACTTGTGATGAGCATGAGGTGGTTCTAATGGAAAAATGACACGAGGTACATCTAGCACCGGAGGATCTCAAATACCCGTAATATCCCGAAAT